CGGCAGCTGTTGAAACCAGTTCACCTCAGTAGGGCGTTGCGAAAAAAACAATGGAAAAAAATATTGAACAAAGAGTTTGCATCAAATTTTGTGTTTCGAACGAAATTTCGTGTGCAGAATCGTTGCGAATGCTACAAAAGGCTTATGGGGAATCAGTTTTATCGAAAACTCAAGTTTATGAGTGGTACAAAGCCTTCCAGGACGGTCGTACGACCGTCGAAGACATTTCGCAACGCACTACTGAGGTGAACTGGTTTCAACAGCTGCCGTAAACGAACTGTCTGACAGATCGAGCTCATTTTTGGCATAGTAATTAAGGACAGTGCTGCCAAACTACATAAACTTAAAATATCGAAAAATATACAGCGCGCGAATTTTAAATGAGAATTTCCGAAAACTTTTCAGTCTTAATGTAAGTAGGTATATATGAAAATATATAATATAAAAAGTATATATAAAACTTTTGGCTAGCCATAGGTAGTATACTGACCATTATGTATAACTAACGAAGATATAAAGATGTTTATGATTCAATATTGGTCGACATTAAGTTTTTTCAATTTTTTGAAAAGCTCTGCTTTATGGAAATCAAATCTCAACTAATACAGACGAGGGCGGTTTGATAAGTCAGTGACTTTTTGAATTTCCCTCGCAGTTACTCCAAATGTAACAGTTCTGCTGTTAGCTGTAATCTACTAGTGGGCAACTTTCTAATTTTGAGCAAGCTACGTCGTTCAGTTGATGTTTGATAGCCGTTCAAAGCAGACAAAAAGTGAATTTCGTGTGCTGATTAAGCATTACTGGTCAAAATCCACGAATTGGGATACGAACTGCTACCTGTGACTATTTTCTGTTTCCAAACCTAAAGAAATGGCTGGGCGGTAAGAGATTTGAATGGAATGAAGAAGTCATTGCCGAAACAAACGCGTATTTTAAGAGCTTTGAGAAAACCTATTATTAGTAGGGAATAAGAAAATTGGAAAAAGCTTAAAGGTGATTATGTAGAAAAATAAAATATTTATTTGCAAAAAAAATTTATTTTATTCAAAAAGTCACTGACTTATCAAACCGCCCTCGTATATTGGCACTAATACATATTGGCATTAAAGAAGTTATTCGAAATTAAACTAAAATGAATTCTCATTACTTGCTTTTAACAATATAATAATGCAAGTACATTTAAATTCAAATGAGATCAGTAAAAACTGTTTAGAGTCTTTGAGTAAAAATGAATTAGAAGTCATAAAAGGTTTGGGGTCTCATTTTGCTGTTGCAATATAAGTTCGAAAGCCATTAAAACTCTACAAAAACAAAAGAAGAGCTAACACTAAATCTAAGAAACACAAATGGAACTCATTAAAAATCTATTAGTTACTCTAAATTGCACTTTCTGTATAGTTAAAGATATTGCGAAGAAAATATTAAAAAATCATCAATTATTGTGGAGAACTTTTCATTGCTCTTAACTAAACTCGACTGCCACATTAACGAGTTTACTTGCATGAGTACATACGAGTATAATCACCAAAATTTCTAAGCAAGCGATTTAAGAAGATGAAAAGCAAACCAATGTTTTTTTTTTTCTAATAACAAGTACAGTTCATCTATGTATCTACGCAAATACATCTTCTCAAGTGTATCTATGGCAGGCAGTACACACGCACGCATAGACAGACAATGGTCGAAATATGGAATTACGCTAATGGTACCACCTCTTTTTTATTTTCTACTTCTTTATTTTCTACTCTTTAGAAAGTAAATTACACATGGACTAAAATGAGTTATCTGTCATGTCTTCCGTTGTCTGTTGTCTATTCGACAGATACTATTGCTACACAACTATGTAGTAGTCGTGCTGCTCTCGTAAGATATTAATGCCAATGATTGATTTTTGTTTGTGGCTCCGTAGACGCAATCCATTGATACCGTGGCTGTTTTTTAAAGTTTTTGCGCATCACATCACAAGTTTCTAGAACAAATGTTTGTGATGAAGTAGTGAAGAAATTAAATAATGAATACCATAAAATCGAACACGAATGATTTAACATATATTGAAATAGTTCTGATGATACGGCAGACCTACGATTTGAAGTGAAGTGAACTGCTGTGCAACAAACTTTGTGGACATAAAACGCTTATCAGAGGTTGCTGATAACTGATAAAAACTTAAAGTTAATAAAATCTGATCAACAAATTTGTTTACGATTTTTTGGAAATTATCTGTAATATTTTTTTTGTTTTCGGTGTAGTTCTGAACTGCATTTGTGAAGGTCATACATACCAATTTTAGGTATTTTCGACAGCGTACTGCGTGTGTTCTTATAATTGATGTGCAGTGAAGGAAGTAAAATTTTTTATAGGCTGTTTAGATACATTTTACGAGGTGCTAAAGCAAACAACTGGCAGTTATTTTGTAAACAAATCAGTAAAATTTACACAAAAAGATATTGAATAACAAACAAGAGCAAGCGAACAGTTCAAATAAGACAATATATATTGTATCTGCTATAAGTTAGTATAAGAACAAATATATAAGAAAGAAACTGCGAAAATTCCCAAAATTGTATTGTAGAAACTAATAATAGTTTACCTAATAGTAAGCAAATACATCTATAAGAGAATGTTAGATATACAGTATATAAAAGAATTGGTTTCATAAACATTTTTCAGCGCAGCGACATCTATAAGTGTATGATGGTAAATAAATAGTGCACATTTTAATAATCGAATTATCAGAATAAAATGTAATTTTATTATAATTATGTATTTAACTAAAAAAACTAGTTTCATAAACATTTTTTAGCGCAGCGACATCTATATTCAAATGATAGTAGATGAATCGTGTACACTTTCTTCACAACTACGCAATCCGTCTTAAAGAGACAAGTTCTACAAAAACTTCTTCAGCGCAGAATCAACTACAAATGATTGTTATGTTAAGTGATAAATGGTGTACAAGCTTCCAATGTTATTTGACGTAGCATTCGTCGCCTTGCAAAGGCCTAATACTACGGTGCTCAAAAGCACAACGTCTTAATACAAAGCGTCAAGCGAAGCCCCATTGGAATAGTCTTGTAAATGATGCACAGAATCCAGTGATTTTTATCGTGATTTCCTCCCTGCAAGGCTTAACACAACGGTGTTCAGAAACACACGTATTAATATAAAGCATCAATCAACGCCCCATTGGAATAGCCTGCTCTATTCTGCCGGTACCAATGAAGATATTTATGTAAAACATATCTTCAACCTTGGTGAAATGCGAGGCCTATCTTAAACCTCTGCTACAATTTGGGCTGTAACACCTGGTGGTGAATACGCAAGTCCACGTCGAATGTGAACCAAAACTGAACATTCTTCCTTCGTAAGTTTGGGTATTAACAAACAGCCACTACGAATTCAACACCAATGGTCAGAACAGCCGAAGTTCTCACTCACTACCAGACCTCACTCACTACCATTTGCACTTCTTACATAAGTGCCAAACTAGCACTAGGGGATTTTTGTCGCCTCTTACGACTGAAAATCCTAACCGCGGATGAATTCTTTTTCCCATTCTATAGGGAATGTACAATAGGGAATTAAGATATAAAGCCCTCTCTCGACAGACAAAAATCACATGTTAGAGCGTGAGAAAAATTACGTTGTAGAGCGTGAGAAAAATCACGGTCTACAAGTTACGCTGCCTGCCGTGCTATATGGTACAGAAGCTTGGACAATTACTAACACTGATGAGTAGACGTTCGAAGCATTTTAGAGAAAAATGGATCGGATGATCTATGGTCCCTTACGCGTTAGCAACGAGTATCGAATTAAATTGAACGATGAGCTGTATGTGCTATACCACGACATTGACATAGTTAAGCGCATAGACGTTGAGCGGCTTCGCTGGCTTGGTCATATCGTGAGAATGGATGAAGAGGCTTCAGCGGAAAAAGCGTTTAAAGCAGTAGTTGAAAGAAGAAGGTGTAGAGGTAGACTGTGTCTACGGTGGAATGATCAAGCTGCTGCGCACGCAGCTGAAGCGACTGGAGGGATATGCTGTGCCAGTCCGAAATCCGGAAATCCGGGTTCTAATGGCTAAATAATTAGGTAAAAGCAACATCAATTCAATGCTAACCGTTTTTTTCGTTTCGAAGAGAATTATGAATTCACAGTAAATTTATACCAAAAGGTCAGTTGATGGACGCAGAACATTTTCTGGGTGTTTCTACAACGATTGTGGTTCAGAAGTCAATGAGTTCGACTGGAATATGGAGAACCAGGCAATTGATTAAGATAATTTATTATTTGTAGTTATATATGACATTTAAGAAAAAAATTAGATTTAATTTAAATTTATACCAGAAGGTCAGTAGATGGACGCAGAACATTTTCTGGGTGTTTCTACAACGATTGTGGTTCAGAAGTCAATGAGTTCGGCTGGAATATGGAGAACCAGGCAATTGATTAAGATAATTTTTTAGTTGTAGTTATATATGACATTCAAGAAAAAAATTAAAACCACATCAATCAATAAACTGCATTAGCAGTCATTGATGTTGATTTCACGCAATCGCCGATAGGCTTAAAATAAATCTTAAGATTCATAAGCTTTATTTATAACCCAATTCAATGTGCAAAGATAATCAATGAATATCCCATAACCAAAAACACAGCAAAAAGAGAGCAAACTGTTCAATAAAACTTTCACCAAATGGGAATGCAAATGCAAATGCGCAAAATGACACGAATAAAATCTTTTTGAAGCTAAAAGCAAATAAAAATAATTTCATTTAAAATCAAGAAGACACAATTTTATTTTATTGAAATGGCTTTATATTAAATATCGATAATACAGGCAATCGGGCAGTCAGACCGTCAGGCAGGTATGAGGGAATCTGTGCACTACGAATGAAAAACAGACCAGTGGGCTGTTTCCATGGAGGCCACATATATATACAGAAATTGGGAATGGCAGTGAGAAAGATACAAATGTAAAAGATTCAAAATGCACTTACCTTCAATGCAAACGACATGATCACGTATTTGCTGTGCGATCTGTGCATCCGGCATGGGCAATAAATCGATTAAATCGTAAATTGCATATATCGATGGATGCACGCTTTCAAAGCGTTGTATCTCCTGACGTATAGCCAACGAATTCGATATTAGCGGTTGTGGTGGCGGCGGTTGTGGTTGATTTGTTGCAGTCGTTGGCAGCGGTGGCGTATGATGTGAATGCGTATGATGATGTGATGACAATTGATGCGGATGATGATGATGTACCGCTGCCATTGCTGGAACTGCCGTTGTATGATGTGGCACTGGCAGGTGTGATGAATGATGGTGCCGCGGAACAGGTGGTAATGGTGGCGGTGTTTGGTTTTGATAATTATTCATATTATAAATTTTTTATTTTTTTTTCCAATTAAAATAAATTAAATTAAATTACACGTATTTATATAATTTTAGTTGCACTTAAAATTTTACTTCACAAACACAGGCTGTAAAATTATCCACGCGAAATTTTATATATAGGCATGTATAGATTTTTTTTACAAAGATTTATTAATTTTATTTATAAAATATTTCAAAATATTTATCAATGATACAAAATGGGTTTCTTCACAAAAATCTTTAATTCTTGAACACAAAAACTTTTTCAGAAATATGGACTTTACAGACACGTAATACCGATTTTAGACGAGACATTTTCGAAACTATTTCAGTGCTTCCCTTTTATTAAGATATCATTTTTATAATTATTAAAGTTGCTTTCAGATAACACAATAAACTAAAAAGAAAAATAAATTAAATTATGTTTAATAATTTTAATATATGTATTTAAGAAAATTAAATTTGCAACATACAGAACATACAGATAATTAATTTAAAAAATAAATAATAAATTAATGAAAACAAAAACGGAGAAACATATTTTTATTTAATTTATATTAATTTATTTAAATTATTTATTTTATTTGTATTATTTATTTTATTTATATTTTTTTTTATTTATATTATTATATAGAGTTTTATTACATATATAATGCACAATAGATCATGCAAAATATTACTATGGGTAGGTTATCTCCGACTTGTTCTTCCAGAAATGAGAAAAACATATAAATGGAGTGATGGTATACATATATAAGCCGACAGTATTAACTGACAGACAGAATGTCAATAAATAAACTACCTAAAAAAAATTCATCAAAAAACTGTCCATATATCAAAAATGGTTTATATAGCCATTGATATTGAAGATATATCTAGTGAACTTTTATTTAGGTATATTTTTCTAGGGCACTTTGTATATCAATTAATATTGAAAATACAAATTCTCTAACTGTTTTTTTTGTAATATTCTGACTCAAGAATCATTTCTGCCCTTAATGTCGAACTAGTCGATAACAATCTGCGTACAAGATAGATCCGGTTTAATAACATTTAAACTTTAAACTCCTTTTTAATTTGTATACTGAAAAAATGTTATTTGTTATTTTAGTTATTATATTTAAAATAAATCAATTTAATTTTTAAAAATAAATTGGTTTAATTATAAACCACTTTCAGAATACCTCCAGTTAAATATCTCGGTATCAGGCTGGACAAATGATTCACATGGCTTAAACATGTTCAACTGAAAAGAATTAGCTGTGCCAAAATTCTTCATCACCTCTAACCGCTATCCAGAAATGAAAATCTCAATGCTAATAACAGAAAGCTGATATATAGCCAAAAAAATTCGTCCGTTACTTCTATATGGTTGCGTAGCGTTTAGTAAAGCTTCAAACACTACTATTGGTCAGCTAGAAATTCCACAAAGCCAGGCTCTGAGAAGATTTTTCAAAGTACCATGGTACATTAGGACGAATGACATCCTCAGGGACCTCAAGATTGATCCCATCAAAAAATACATAAAGGATTGAGCCATGAAATTATTTACGAAAACTGACAGGCTTACCAACACTGCATTATCGAATCTCAGAATGGTTACAGGCTCCTCGGGGAGGTATGCAGATCTGATGTTAATTATTGCTTAGTCTGATGAAGTGATGAACAATAATCCAGTCAAGGCGTAAATAGGAGTTTTAAAAATACCTCGAGTTAAGAAAGAGTAAAAGTGCACTGACTCAAATAGATTTGACATAATAATATATTTATATAAAATTATGGGTTTTACAAAGTATTTGGTACAACTATTAAAAACAATATGCAAAACAATATACACTATCTGTTTTAAATAGCAGGCCAGTTTTATATATAGAAATGGCAAATGCAGATAGAGCTCACTTAACCCCCAGTTGTGACAATCCGTTGAAATTTTAGTTCACTAGCTGACTGTAGGCATATCTCTAGTGTAGACTGAAAACATCATTTTCCTGAGATAAACAATAATGTCTTTAATAGCCACAATTGGAATAGCGGAGAGACTTTTAAAAAAGTAAAAACCTATAGTCGGTAGACATTTTCTGGCGGATACCGCATATCGGACAGTGACAGAACAGACAAGTAAACCTTCCTAAAAGAATTATTAAAAGTTTATATACTACAAGAGCAATCAACTTATTTAGAAAAAAATTAAGTAGTTGGTATCAGAATAATAATTCCGGTAAATTTAACTTTAACGAACTTTAAATAGAGTTCCTCAGAAAATGATTGATCAATAAAATTTTAGATAATTCGACTAAGACATATAACACTAACACATTCATTCATATGTGATCAATAGACAGAAACTATCAATATATGAGAGTGTCTTAATGGTTGATTAATAAAATTGAATTTAGATAATTCGATTAGGATATACAAAGGTCACATAAGAGTATGATTAAATCTGATTAAAAGACAGGAACCATAAACATGTAGTTGTAATAATACAATATAATATAACATACTCTGTCAATATGCATTCAGTATATAAATCAGAAATATATAGAATGTCTCTTGAAATATAATAAGAGATGGATGGATGTTTTGATAAGATGGATGTCTTAACATATAATAAGTTAAGGCATCCAACTAAAGATACTATTAAACTATCTATAAAATTTGTTAAAGCATGTAATTTATATAGAGCAATTTAGATAAGTAAATAATATATATACATAAAATATAAAAAAAAATTGGGTTAAAGCCATATAATCACTATGACCGATAGTGTAAATTAGTCAATAACATATTGTACAAAATTTTTTAAAAAATAAAATAAATTAATTAATTTTAAAATAACCCTCCGTGAAGAAATTTAAAAAAAAATTGTTATAATTATTAATAATTTAAAATATATAGGAATTTAATATTAAGAAATTTATTAATACTTCAATTTTATTAAATATTTACATACAGTGGCTCACAGCTGATTTCGTGCAAGCAATATTTTTGTAGATTTAGTTGTAAAATTCCAAAATTTTATTTAAAATAAAAAATTTTAAATATACAACTTTGAAGAATGTTTAGTTTTCATTATAAAACAAAAAAAAAATTTAACAAAAATATCAACATACATCATATTCTGACCTCACAGCTTATTGAGGTATATTAACCCCAAAGGCAATTGAAACCCTTCCGGATATTCCTAAACCATTTTATTAAGTACAATGTTATCGTGTAAGTATATATTAAGGTATTATTCATATTTTTATTCAATAAAAATATTTTAATATTTTTAAATGCTTTTTTAGAGGTATTTTTATTAGCATAAAGAATAAAAATAAATTATACTACATTTGTATTTCAAGGGCAATTTACTTCCACTTCATTAGTTCAAACGGTTCGTTTTACACGGAAAGGGTAAACCTTAAGGGTTGTGTTAGGTTTCGTAAAATACTTCGCCTTGAACTTGCGGCCTAAACGTATTGGAATTCTAAAAACTTCCACACCGAGAGCAATTTGGAGGAATTTACAACATGTGGCATGGCAATTTATGTAAATGCGTGCATATGCATGTACACACTTGCACAAACATGGTTAAAGATATAGCTTGCAATTAGTATATATATTCATATACTTGTTACGTATGCATAAAATAAAAATTAAAAGAGTTTTTTATCATTTAAATACCAAGTAAAGCACCTATTTGAACCGCTGCTTACTGCCTTTTCCCAGGAATTTAAATTATATAGATGAGGTATTAATAATGTCAAAATGTTTCGATTTCAATTTTAATGTGACTTTCTGCATAGATACATTATGGATCCAATATTTCCAAAAAGTAATATCACTTTTTGAAATAATATGTGTGAATTTTTTATCTGTCAGATTAAGACACGAAAGACAGTCATATATCTATCAGAGATTAACTGTAAACAGCACTTAACAGAATTAGGTATCGGATCACTTATTTGTAAATCAAATTCAAGGATTCCAAATTCACTTATATTATATATACATTGCACTAAGCCAACAACAATATGCACACATATCTCAATGCGATTCAAGTTTTGCGATTCAAGATTAAACTGTAAACAGTACTCAATAATATCAGGTATTAGACCACTGATTTATAGAACAAATCAAGGATTTTAAATTCAATCATATTAAACGTATATTGCATTAAGAAAATAATAACCTACGGACATATCTCAATGGGATTCAAGTTATGTAAGCAGAGTCTGTAAGTTCCTGAGATTGTATATCCATAGACTAAACTGTAAACAGCACTTAACAATATCATGTATTGGACCATTGATTTGTAGATCAAAACAAGGATTCCAAATTCTTTTATATTATACACACATTGCATTAAGAGAATAACAACCTGCAGACATATCTCAATGGGATTCAAGTTGTGCAAGCAGAGTCTGTAAGTTCCTGAGATTGCATATCCATGGACTAAACTGTAAGCATCATATCAAAATGAATACTACGTCGTCATATGTATAGCTAATTGGGCACTATTCCAGATTCTCGCCTTTATAACTGCTTGACCTTCTTCTATCCACTATTATGAGAAATTGTGGATTTAAGTCGTTTCTGCCTCCACTTCAACTAACTAACTAGACACCATTATCTATATCATTCTAGACTAATTCATCAGTCTGTAATTGACTTACTAAATTGATATAACTCCATTGAAGTGCATAATCAGTGGGTAGAGTACTAAAAGTACTTAAAAAAATATTTCAAGTGTTTTCCATAAGACAAACTTTTCCTTCCCAACTTCTTTGCTGGGTGGGAACAATCTTTTATCTACCTAAAATATATAATAAAAATTAGCGGCAAATTACTTTTCTTAAGTGTGTTTTTTTTTATATATAAAAAATATATAAAAAAAACTCCACAAGTGTCATTTTGTTTATAAGGGAAAATTCCCTCGCAAAAACTGTTGAGAAGAAAAACTCAGCCGTTGCAGAGGCCGCTGCCTAGTGGGTCAACGATGCTCTTCATGCCAGCAATTTTAACTTTACATTTTTTTACGGTGCCAGTGTAGAGCAATTAAAGTATGGGTAATGACACACACACACTCGCACACACAGAGGCACAAGTAAGAACACAACAGTGTAAAAATTACCTTACGCACAAGAC